TTTAAGGCCCAGCAGCTTCCGGTTACCATGGAGTGAGGCAGCGCAAACACCATTCCCAGCTGGCATGAAATGTGATCCCGTGATTTCACTATTCATAGCTCTGACATGATAAAGCTAAATTAAGCAGGAACTCTTCACTTCTCCAAGCTCCCAGCAGTGACTCCCTCAATGCTCAGGCTCTCCTAACACAGTTTCTGTGTGATGAGGTGAAGGATGTTTCCTTTAGGGTAGGAGACTCCAGACCCACACGCTCAGCCTGTCATCTGGAAACAAAATGGCACCGGCTCCTTCCCACGCACCGATCTGTCCTGGCACCAGCAGAAACAAAGACCTGATGAGCTGCTAGGGCCAAGTGTGACAACTTCCTACTCTTGGGACCCACTGCAGAATCCCACACAGCAGTTTAAGCCTTGTTCCCAGGCCTGCCCAGCACAGGCATCACCGTGTCCGGGAACAGGGGCAGCTCAAGGGGCACTGGCACAGCCCCACTGCCACCAGGAGCTGTCACACAGCCTGGCACCATCATCCAGCACAAGCTCCCCAGGAAGCCAGAACTGTTTCTGTGACTGCCACCACCACTCCTCTCTCTTCCAACATCCGTGGCCTGAACTATGTGGTTAAATATCCTGAAATTCCTGCCTCACCAAAGAACTCCCTGTACCACCATAATTCTGAGGAAACCCACGACCCAAACCCCACGTCCCTGCCCCGGCACATGCAGCTATTAAACACAGCTCAGGATACTATAAACTTTTCCAGAAATGGAGAAAAAGTTCAAGGGCTCTGTGGCTGGTCAAACAATTAAGAAGCTCCAACACGACAAACTGTCATTTCACAAAGACAAAGCCAAGTGAGCTGAAAAATACTCAAACTTCTGGCAAAACCATTCTATTCCTTCAGGGATACAACTATGGAACATCATGGCCTTACAGTGAAAAGCATTCTCAGGCTTATCCAGTCCAGCTCAGCACTCCCTAGGCCTCCCAAAGCAATATTTCCTTAACAATGGAGAAAGTGGGAACAGGTAAACTAAATTTAGATCTGCTGATGCGTGATGGATTGTCACTTACTCTATGTGTTGGTGTTTTGTAACCGTAGCATTTTCCTTTTCTAATAGCAACACACAGTTCAGAAAGTGTTCACCAGCTTTCCTGCAGCCTCAAACACCTCACTGTGAGCCCACATGCCAGGCCTGACCCAAAGGAGCATTTCCTTTAATACTTTACACACTTCCTGACTTAGGTGAGCTGGAGAAAGCAGCAGACAGCTAGATTATTTTATCATAATCCCGTCAGCAGAATATCCAATTTTTTCACAATACACATGACAAAGCCTTACTTCCATGAAAAAGAACTGGAAGTGAAGGTCAGGGCACGTGGCTGGTCCAAAATCCCAGTGTCCAGGGAAGCCTCTTCCCAGACAGCACTTGCTGAAGCACTGACAGCAGAACTGTCTTCCAGAGACACACAACTCAGAGAGGCAGGGAATTAGGAAGGATGGAAAACAGCAGGAAGTCAGCAGGGTATAACTCAGCAGAGACACAGGCAGGACAAAGAACAGGGGCAGAGATCGGGGCTGCTCCACCTGCTGCTGCCAACACAGTCTGGGTGAACACATGGCTGCAGCCAGAGCACCACAGCTCTTTACAGCACCTTGGGGAGGCATCTCCTTCCCAGGGCCAGGTCATCTTTCACAGATTCATTTAGGTTAGAAAAGATCATCAAGTCCAGCCTGTGACTTGTTACCCAGCCCAGAGCACTGAGTGCCACATCCAGGTGTTCCCTGGACACTTCCAGGGATGGGGACTCCAAACCTCCCTGGGCAGCCCCTTCCTTCCAGTGCCTGACCTCCCCTTGCAATAACCTGACAGGTAAAAGGTTTCCTCTCTGGATCTCTGGACAAAAAGGATGTGAAAATGAGATAAGGGGCAGCCCTGCACTGCCCTCATCCCACGGACAGGACCCCCAGCTGGAGGGGAAGGGTTCAAACCCCAGAACTCTGCAACCCCCTGTGTCCAGAGTGTAGCATTTCCAAATCACACTCATGTGGAACAGACACCAAGGCCCATCCACGGGAGCACTGCCTCAGGAGCAGCATTCCCAACCTTCAGCTGCCTAAGGACATTGCAGGAAACTGCTCAAATCAAGTTCTTACTTGCCCTCCCTGTTCCTGCTGAGGTAGGGATAATAATTCCTAGATGGAAAAATACAATTCAAAAATACATAGCAGCACCCAAAGAAATGTTAGACAAATTTCACAAGGCCCTAAACCCTCCAGAGGATCCTGTGACACAAAAATGCACATTTGCAAAATCTCTCTACACTGTCTTGTTTTGTCCTTTCATCTGCTGTGAGATTGTGCAACCCGTAAGAAAGGTCACAAAGCCAGCCATTTCCTCACTCCATGCTGGGCACCTGTGAAGCTCCAGAGCAGGACACAGAGCAACCACTCCAGGAGAAGGCAATGCTGTACCCAGCACTTGCCTTCCTGTGCCTCCAGCTGACTCTCTTCGAGAGAACCTGAGAGGCAAAGCTTTGAAACACCTCTTGAGTGCATGGAGCCAAGGCTGTGACACCCAATCCCTGCCAGCAGCTCTCCCAGCCCAGCACCCAGCAAGGGCACAGCAAAGCCCACCCGAAATGTCACACCCCATCAGCACTGACACAGCGTCTGCCCTCACTCCCTGCCACAGGGAATTCTCAGGAGTCCTTCCAGAGAATAATTGGATTATTTCATTGTGCTCTCAGGAAAAGCAGCCTGAAAACATCCATTTGTTGATGTAGCAATAAAGGCTCTTCTCTTCCACCACCAGACAACCCAGACCATCTTCCAAACGGTTTTAAATTGGTAATTTCAAGCAGCAAATCTGTTCTTGTGCCACAGCACCTGGCACATCACTGTACACATAAAAACCTCTGACAGGTCCTGAGAGGATGGTGTTGCATACACACACACACGAGTTCACCTGCTCCTCCCAAGGCAGGACACAGGGAATGGCTTCACACTGAAAGTGGGTTTGGATCGAAGATTAAGGAGAAATTCCTCCCTGTGAGCGTGGGGAGGGCCTGGCACATGGCACCCAGAGGAGCTGTGGCTGCCCCTGGATCCCTGGACGTGTCCAAGCTGGGACAGGGGAAGGTACCCTGCACATGGCAGGGGGTGGGATGGGATGAGCTTTATGGTGCATTGCAACCCAAATCATCCCATGCCTCCGTGATTTATGGAGCACTGCTTACTACACAAACACCCAGAACCCCATTCAGGTGATAATCACCTTGGGCAGGCTTAAAATGCATTTGTAGAAACCTCAAACACGTTCATTTCCCCTAAAACAACACGAACTAGCAGAAAAATCCTAGAGGAAAGTGTAGAGTCAGGCTTCACCCGCGTGTCTGAGCCACTGCAACGCCTCTTCTGCCACATCGCCTGAAGTTCAGCCAAACTTCACGAGTAAGGAAAACGCAAGGCAGGCACCGAGAGAGCTCCGGTGCTTGCGGCTGCACCGGGAAACGGGCGGTGCTGAGCGCCGCTGCGGGAGCCACAGGCCCGCGGGGCTGGGCCGAGGGGCGATGGCTGCGGCACCCCCGGGAGCCCCGGACACCGGGATGGGACCTCCGGGACAGACCGACGGAGCGGGGGAACCTCAGGGGCGCAGCCTAGAGGACGGGGATCTCCGCGAACGGGACAGCGGAGAGCAGAGCGGCGCACGGGCGGCTCCGGGGAAGGGCCGGGCAGGCCCAACCGGGCCCGGGGCCGCGAGGAGGCGCCAAGGCCTGGCCGGGCCTACCACGAGGCGCCGCTGGGGCCGGGCCAGAGCGGTCCCGAGAGCCGCGAACGAGCCTCGCCCGGGGCCGCGCGGGGCCAGGACACCGGGACAGGGGGGGAGCAGCGCCGCGGTGAGGCCCAGGAGGGGCGGCGGGGGGCGTGGGCAGAGCCGGGGCGAGGCGGCTGCGGAGGGCGCGGGGAGGAGGGAGGGGTGAGGGGAGCTCCCGGTGGCGGCGGGCGGAGCCGGGACCCCCCGGTTCCCCCCGGTTCCCCCGGTTCCCCCGCACTCACCGGCGCCGCTCCGCCGCGGCCCCTCCGCACCAGGCGCCCCCTCCGCCTCCGCCTCACGCACTTCCGCTCCGCGCGCGCGCTCTGCCCGCCCGCGGGGGCCGCCGGGAGCTGTAGTCCGGCCCGCGCAGCGCGCCCCTAACCAGGCGGCACCGCCGCACTACAGCTCCCGGCGGGCGTCGCGCGCGCCCTGTCGCCACTTCCTCCTCCGGCCGTGGCGCGGCGGTGCGCGCAGCGCTTCCGGCGGGGAGCGGGGCCGCGGGCGGGAAATGGCGGCGGGGCGGGCCCGGCCTCCCTCTAATGCAACCCTCCCGGGCGGTCCCACAGGCGGCTCCCGAGGGCCCGGGAGGGAAGGGGCAGCCCTGGGACTGGGCCCTGCTTGCGCGTGGGGGCTCCGGGGGCAAACCTGGGTATGGGGGCCAACCTGCCCCGCTGCTGTGGGGGCCAGGAGAGCGTCCTACCCTACCGTGCCCTGCCCATCCCATCCCAGCCCGGTCCTGCCCTGCCCATCCCAGCCCTGCCCTGCCCATCCCATCCCAGCCTTGCCCTTCCCATCCATCCCAGCCCAGCCCAGCCCTGCCCATCCCATCCAGCCCAGCCCTACCCATCCCATCCATCCATCCCAGCCCTGCCCTGCCCTGCCCAGCCCAGCCCAGCCCAGCCCAGCCCAGCCCAGCCCAGCCCAGCCCAGCTCAACCCTGCCCATCCCATCCCCATCCCCATCCCCATCCCCATCCCATCCCATCCCATCCCATCCCATCCCATCCCATCCCATCCCATCCCATCCCATCCCATCCCATCCCCATCCCCATCCCCATCCCATCCCCATCCCCATCCCCATCCCCATCCCCATCCCCATCCCATCCCATCCCGGTGGAGCACCGAGGCACTGACACGGGCACAGACCCACCCAGTTCCCCTCCCCGGACACAGAGAGACACGCCGAGGGCATTGTCCACTTTTAATTGTTGTCAAAGGTTGTCTGGATGCATAACACTGTCACAAGGGCACAGAGCAGCGTGGTGCCGGCCGGGCCCGGGGACACTGGACACACGGACATGCGGGGGAACGTGGGGACCGGGAGCTGTGACACGGCCCCCCCGTGCCCCCCAGAGCATCCCCACGCCCGGCCGGCTCTATTTACAGTATTCACAGACGTTGTACCCAGCGAGTTAAATAACTACATCATTACACCACACGTCTGAGGCGGCTCCGGCGGGCTGCGAGGGTGGGCTGTCAGTCTGATAAGGTGCATATTTAAAATTAAAAAAATAAAAACCAAAACGAAATAAAAACGAGAACGAAGAGAGGAGCCAGGCGTCCTCGCTGGGGCCCTGCAGCCCCCAGGTGCCCGGGAGGAGCAGCGAGGGTCGTGTTCTGACGACAGCTACAGGTCTGCGTGGGCCACCGGGGTCAGGCTGTGGCCAGCGGCCCCTGGGAGCATCGGCCAGGCCCTCACAGCACCTCTGCGGGCGGGGAGAGCGGTGTGAGGGTGTGCTGCTCACAGCACCGACCCCCACAGCCCTCCTGCTGCTCACCTGTCACCTGCGGGGGCTTCACCACAGCCTGCTTGAGGAAGGGCTCCTTGTCGCCGAAGGGGATGATGCTGCCGGGGCCACCACCGTGGTGGGAGAGATCCCGCAGCTCCTTGGAGCCCTCGGTGCCTGAGAAGCCGTTCTCGTGCTTGCCGGGCTGCACGCCGTTCACCAGGGCTGCCGCCTCCTTGGTGCTGTGGGGTGGGAGGGCCGGGCTCAGCCCCGGCCACGCCACCCCCGGCTCCCCCCGGTGTCCCCATGCTCACCTCGGCTGCAGCCCCTCGCCCCCCAAGCCCTTCGTTCCCCCCGGTGTCCCCACGCTCACCTCGGCTGCAGCCCCTCGCCCACCAAGCCCTTCGTTCCCCCCGGTGTCCCTGCGCTTGGGGTCTCCGTCTCCGGGAGCTCCTCCGCCTTCGGGATCGGCCCCAGGTGCTTCTCGCGGCCTGAGGACATGGCAGAACCCGGCTCAGCCATGGCTGGGGCCAGATCGTGGCTGGGGGAAGCAGGCCCGGGCTGCCCACACACCTGGGACATCTTCCTGCTCGGCTGCTTTCCCGTTCAGCACCTTCTTGTCGTCCTTCCTCTGCAGGGACAGGAGAGCTGTGAGGGTCTGCAGGCAGGGGCAGGAGGGCTCTGTCGAGTGCCCAAGTCCCCAGGGCCCCAGGACAGAGGACAGGCTCCCACCTTGGTGTCTGCTGCATCCGACTTGCGCGTCCTCTTCATGATCTCCTCCAGGCGCTGCGGTCACACAGGGACTCACACACGGCTCTGACCACCAGGACCTGCCCCGGTGCCAGGCAGGATCCCTTCCAGGGAAAACCCTGCCGTGCCCCATGCCTGGAGGTGCCCCCCAGCCTCACCTTCTTCCTCTCCAGCCGCTCCTGCTCCTCACGCTGGAAGTGCTTCTCCCGCTCCAGGCGCTGCCGCTCAGCCTCTTCGCGCGCCCTCGCCTCGGCCTCTTCCTTCTGTGCCACAGCAGGGCAGGAGGGATGAGATGTGACAGGGGAAAGGGATGGGGCCGGGACTGTGGGGATGTGCTGCCTGGACAGCTCAGCCTGTTCCCCCCTGCCACCCTGCTCCTGGAGGGGCTGGGCTGGTTCTCACCCTTCCTCCCCTGAGAGCTAACCACAGGAGAACATCCCCGCATTCCTCCTCCACCCCTGCCTTTGTCCCCCACCTCCTGCCGCCCCTTTCCCCCCCACTCTGCCAGCCCAACCTGTCTCTGCAGCCGCTCCAGCTCCTCTCGCTCAGCCCGGGCTCTCTCCTGGGCCTCTCGTTCCTCCTGCAGCCGCCGCTCCTCCTCGCGCTGCCGTGCCAGGGCCTCCCGCCGGCTCTGCTCCTCGGCCGCCCGCTGCGCCCGCTCCTCCTGCACCCGCCTGCGGGGAGGGGTCCCTCAGCACGGCAGGAGGTCCGGCCGGGGCTGGGGGCCAAGGGGACAACACCCACCTCTCCTGCTCCTCCTGCTCCCGGCGCTCCCGCTCCTCCCGCTCCCGCTGCTCCCGGGCCTGGCGGCGCTTCTCCGCCAGCAGCCGGGCAGCCTCCTCCCGGTCCGTGGTGCCGGCCGGGGGTCTGGCCGGGGGACTGGCCAGCACAGGGCCGGGGGCCGCAGGGACTGGGGGGCCTGGGGGAGGCAGGCAGCGTCAGGGCTGCTCTGGCTTCTCCCAGCCCTGCAGCTTCCCCGGCGACACCGTACCCACCTGCTGTCGGCTCTGCGGGCACCTTGGGGGGCTCGGGAAGGGCTGGGGGTGCCGGACCCCGCTCCTCCTCCTTCCTCTCCCGTGCCTTCGCCTGGCCCTCCTGCTCCCCCCGCTCCTCCCGAGCCCTGGCCCGCACCTTGGGGGAGGAATGGGCGCTTCGAGGCAGGGGCGGCTTGTGGGGAGAGCTGAGGGCTGGGCTGGGGGACGCCGGGCGGGCCTTGGGGGTGGCAGGGGACGAGGGACGGTTCTTGGGGGTGGCAGGGGATGAGGGACGGTTCTTGGGGGTGGCAGGGGACGAGGGACGATTCTTGGGGGTGGCAGGGGATGAGGGACGGTTTTTGGGGCCGGGGCTGCAAACAAAGCAAGAGAGAGTGTTAGTGGGGCTGGGGCAGCCCGCGGGTGGGGCCAGGGGCTGGGTAGCCTCAGGGTGGGGGTCCCGACCTGCTGTCAGCTGCAGGCAGGAGCCGGGGCTGTGCCGCCGGCAGCGACTGCCGCTTCCTGAGGCTGCGCTCACGGGACAGGGCGCTGCGCTCCTTGGCATTCTCCCGATCCTTCTCCTTCTTCTCCTTCTTCTTCTGCTCCGGCCGAGGACAGGCAGGGATGGCGTCAGCGCTGGGTGCTGGGCACGGCCTGAGGCCACGCCGCGCCCCACAGCCGCCCTGGCGCTCGGGGTCCCTGCGGGAGGTGGCACTCACGGGCGAGGGCTCGGTCCTGCGGCGCGGCGTCACGTCAGGGCTGGCGGCGGCCGCCTTGCGGCGCTCCCAGCAGCGGTGCGGCAGGCGGTGGTTGTGGCAGGGGCTGAGGGGGCTGGCAGAGGCTGAGCGGGGGCACACGGGCACTGGGGGAGGAGTGACCAGCGTCAGGATGGAGCCAACAGCAGCTGCCCACTGACTCCAGGCTCCCTCGTCCTGGTTCCCTGCCTGTGCCAGAAGCCACCTGTGTGTCCCTGACCCCCCGGGGGCTCACCCTGCTCCTTGCCATTCCCAGCCAGGGTCACGGCGCTCCGGCTGCGCGCGAGGAAGGACAGGGTGGGCGTCATCAGCCGGTCCACGATGCTGCTCTCCCATGGGCTCAGCTGCAAGCTGCGGTCTGGGGAGGGAGAGGGGCCATTAGTGCACCACAAACCTCCAGACTCCAGTCCTGCCCTCACAGCCGTGTGTCTGCAGCAATACCACGGCGCCTGCACAGTTCCAGGAGTGCCCAGAGCTTGGCCGTGCTGGGGAGGGTCCCCACGGCCCCACACAGCCGAGCAGGATGAAGGGCCGTGCCCGTGGGTGGGCGGCTGGGTGCCTGTGGACGGCGCTGTGGCATGACAACAGTGGTGCCCTTGTGTCCTGTGGACACTGCAGTCACTGTGTACCAGCGGTGCCGGGTGCCATCCTGGTGATAGCAGCCTCCAGCTCTGCCCTCTCCTTGTGCCCAGCAATGGCACCCTTCTGTGGCCCTGCCCTGTGTGACCAATGGCACGTGCCAGCTGCCCCGGGGACACCACAGTGTGTCCTCATCCCACGGGAGCTGTGCTAAATCACCAGGCCAGGATTACAGCACCCACGGAACGGCGATGCCTGGCCACACAGCTGGCTCAGCTGGGCACCAAGCTGCCACTGGCTGCCCTGCAGCACGTGTCACCAAACACCCTGCGGCGCATGGGAGCCACCCATGGAGACAGGGCCCCTCTGCCCCTCTCCCCTGGGCGTCAGGCCAGGGGCAGCACCGGCTGCCGGGAGGGGAGAGCACAGAGCCACGGGTGCTGCAGGGGGACAGGGCGGCAGGTCTGGCACGGGCCCAGGGAGATGCTGCTCGCACCCAGGCAGTGCTGACAGCCCCCAGGAGCCTGTCCCTGGGCTGAGCCCCAGCACAGGGCGCTGGGAGCTGCCTGCGTCACCACAGCCACCGGCGTCAGCTGCTCTGGCTATTTATACGCGTCCGGGAAGGCGCCCATCGCCAGGCAACCCCGAAACACAACAGCAGCCCCGGCACTGGACACATCCCTCTGTTGGACACATCCCTCTGGCATGGCTGCAGCCCTGGGCAGCGCTCCCAGGGCCAGGATGACCTTGCAGCAGCACGGCCACAGAGCTCTGTGGCCCCCAGCCCCAGGAGCTTGTGGGGGCACTGGAACTGTGCCCGGCGACAGGAAGCCCCTCTGTGGCTGCACCAGCACCCACCGGAGCTGCCCTGGGGCAGGGAGCCAAGCTCCCATCCCTCTCCTGGTGCCCCATGGGGCTGCCACCACGCAGCCATTCCTCCTCCTCCTCTTCCGTCTCCTCCCAGCCCACACAGCCTCAAGGAGCCACCGGCCGGTTCCAGCCTCCTCCCCCAAACAGCAAACGGCTTCTCCTCTCTCCGCGGGCACCTGGGGATGGGGCACCCTGGCATCGGGGGTCCCCAGCACTGGGCAGGGGCCTGGCTGTGCCCCCTGCGCTGGGGCAAACGCAAAGGGCTCTTACTTCTACTGGGAGAGTTCCAGAGGGTGGCGGAGGATTTGGAGAGCCGCTTGTTGATTATAGAGTCGACGTGTTTGGGGAGGTTTACAGCGGACACCGAGCACCGGCTCGCACCTGGAGGAGGGAAAAGACACAAGGGCATTAAGGTCCCGGGGCCGGGGCCAGGCCCCCCACATGCAGCATGCACGGCCGTGCCAGGGCACTGGGGCAGGAGTGGAACAACCAGGGGAGATGCTGGAGTCAGAGGACACAGCACAGAATGGAGTAGGAGATGCTGGAATCCAGGGGCATGGTACAGAGTAGGGCAGGAGATGCTGGAATCCAGGGATGTGGTACAGAGTAGGGCAGGAGATGCTGGAATCCAGGGACACAACACAGAATGCGACGGGAGGTGCTGGAGTCTGGGGACACGGCACAGAGTGGGACAGAGATGCTGGAATCCAGCGACACGGCACAGAGTGGGGCCAGAGGAGATACTGGTGTCTGGGGACACGACACACAGCACTGGCATTCAGTGTGACAGTGTCTGAACCCTACAGGGTCATGCTGGGGTCATGCAGGGACCTCATCCTCAGAGAGCCAGGCGGCTCCCAGGCCCCACTACAACAATTTTCCCAAACACAGTCCTGGGAATTGGGGGCAGGTGGCCGGGGACCTCGGCAGCACCAGGAGAGCATCCACCCTGGGGGAGCAGGGTGAGGGCAGCAGGTCCAGACAGACACGAGACAACACCACACCGGTGCTGGGTCACTGCCAGCACAGTGCTGGTGGCTGGCAGCACATCCACAGGGAGCTGGGATGTCCCCACCCTGCCTGGGCTCCTCTGGACAAAGCAGCCAGGGAAGCTCAGGGCTGGTGGAGGCAGGAGATTGGTGAGAGACAGCTGGCAGCAGCTCCAGCAGCACATCCCGGTGGGAAGTGGCAGGGGAAGGTGTCCCCTTGGCAGACCTTGCCAGGTGCTGCACCACAGACACCCCGAGCGTGCCCTGAGCCACAGGGGCACACAGCACCGAGACAGGCGTACCCAGAACGTGGAGCCTGTTACACAGCCCAGCCAGGTACAGCTGGGCACGCAACACCTGAGCACACACAGCACTGGGCACACGGTGCCAGATGCACAACCTGGCACACAACACCTGTACACAACCCGGCCAGGTACAGCCAGGAACACAACACCTGTACACAACCCGGCCAGGTACAGCCAGGAACAGAACACCTGTACACAGTCTGGCCAGGTACAGCCAGGAGCACAACACCTGTACACAACCAGGCCAGGTACAGCCAGGAACAGAACACCTGTACACAACCCAGCCAGGTACAGCCAGGAACAGAACACCTGTACACAGTCTGGCCAGGTACAGCCAGGAGCACAACACCTGTACACAACCAGGCCAGGTACAGCCAGGAACAGAACACCTGTACACAGTCTGGCCAGGTACAGCCAGGAGCACAACACCTGTACACAGTCTGGCCAGGTACAGCCAGGAACAGAACACCTGTACACAACCCAGCCAGGTACAGCCAGGAGCACACCTGTACACAACCCGGCCAGGTACAGCCAGGAGCACAACACCTGTACACAGTCTGGCCAGGTACAGCCAGGAACAGAACACCTGTACACAACCCAGCCAGGTACAGCCAGGAGCACAACACCTGTACACAACCTGGCCAGGTACAGCCAGGAGCACAACACCTGTACACAGTCTGGCCAGGTACAGCCAGGAACAGAACACCTGTACACAGTCTGGCCAGGTACAGCCAGAAGCACAACACCTGTACACAGTCTGGCCAGGTACAGCCAGGAGCACACCTGTACACAGTCTGGCCAGGTACAGCCAGGGCCACCACAGCTGCCCCACGGCACATGAAGGCCAGAGAGCTCCTGGGAACACAGTGCTCTATGTCACCACCCATGCCAGGCAGTGCTGGCACCGGCCAGCGTGGCACAGCAGTCAGGGGACAGTGGAGACTTCCACACGTCCAAGTGCTGAATCGTGCAGGGTGTCCCCAAAAAGCCCCCATGGAGCAGGACCAGCTGCTGCAGCCACACATACAGCCACGGGCACCTCCAGACTGCCCCTGGAAGGGCCAAGCACTGCCCCCACCCAGCTGGAGGACAAGGGGACACGCCGCAGCACAGACCCCAAACAGAGCTCACAGAGGCCTCGTGCTGCCCCACAGCCCCTGGGGCTGGGGGCTCTTCACGGTTGCTGGAGACCTGGCAGTGTGGCCATGGCATGCTGAGGCAGCCAGGGCTGCCCACAGGCAGGTCTGTGAGTGGAACAGGGACTGTGACACACAGCCTCCAGCTTACACCCAGCCCCACAGGAGCAGAGAACAGCCACGGAACCCCATCAGTCCCCAGCACAGCCCAGAGTGATGGCAGCATGACCCACCAAGTGGGGCTGAGCTGGGTTTGAGGGCTGCCACAGAGATGCCCAGCTGCCCCCACCGCTGTCAGAGCCACAGGGTCCCAAGGTGCCTGTGCCCAGCCTGGCACTCACCATCCTTGTGTGCAGGGGAGCCGTGGTGCAGGGCCCCAGCCCAGGACCACCGCTGCTGCCGGATCTCTGCCCACGTCTTCTTCACCGACCGCTGGATTGCTGCCTCATAGCGCTCCTGCCCGAGGGAGAGGCACAGGCTGAGCCCAGCGGCTGAGGGAGCGGGGCTGGGGCCAGCCAGAGCCTCCCAGCGATGGAGGTGCTTGGAGGGACACAGGACGGTGATGCCTGCCCTGGCCAGGGCACACGTGCCAAAAGCTGGGCACAGCGCAGGCTCTGCACCAGGAAGGAGGGGCAGCTCCCAAAAGGCTCATGAAACATCTCCTAAGGGCTGCTGGAGCCATGAGAACTCCTCAGGGACTGCATCCCACGTGCCACCCACGATACCCATCCCCATCCCCACCTTATTCTTCTCCAGCTTCTGCCTCTGCCGCTCCTCCAGCACCGCCCGGCGCTTCTCCGCCCGCAGCCGCTGCTCCTCCAGCCGCTTGCGCCGCTCCTCCAGCTGCTTCTCCCGCAGCAGCCGGGCCTTCTCCTCCTTCTCCAGCCACAGCACCCGCTTGGCAGCTGTGGGGGGCAGCGGGGTGGCACCGGAGGCACAGCCCGGGGCAGCCCCGCGGTGGGACCGCGTGCCCATGCCGGTGGCGCGGGGCCACGGCCGGGCTTGTGGGGCCACGGCCAGGCTTGTGGGGCCACGGCCGGGCTTGTGGGGCCACGGCTGGGCTTGTGGGGCCTCGGCTGGGCTTGTGGGGCAGGCAGGATCGGCCAGCGAGGGAGGGGTTTGGGCCAGGACAAAAGGAAGGCCGGGAGCCCGCCGAGCGCGCGGTGAACAATGGGGGAATGAGGGTGGAAAGAGCGCGGGGACAAGGAGGCCCCATGCTCAGCGCAGGGGCCCTGCTCGCCCGCTGCCCCCAGCCACTGTGGGGCTGCCTGCACGCGGCAGAGCCGGGTACCAGCGCTGGTGGCACCTGCACAGACCCGGGGAGTATCCAAAGCGGGCAGCAACAGTGTGTGCTGGGGCGGCAGAAGGATGCCCGGGGGTCAGCAGTGTGCCTGGGGGTCAGCAGTGTGCTGGGGGTCAGCAGTGTGCCTGGGGGTCAGCAGTGTGCCTGGGGGTCAGTGCTGTGCCCAGGGGTCAGCAGCGTGCCCGGGGGTCAGCGGTGTGCCTGGGGGTCAGTGCTGTGCCCGGGGGTCAGCAGGGTGCCTGGGGGTCAGTGGTGTGCTGGGGGTCAGTGGTGTGCTGGGGGTCAGTGCTGTGCCCGGGGGTCAGCGGTGTGCCCGGGGGTCAGAGAGGTGCCAGGGAATCAGTGCTGTGCCTGGCAGGCAGAGCTGCCAGCACTGCAGTTCCCACCCAAGCTCAGCTCACCACAGTTAATGGGATTGCCCATGACCCAGCAAAGCTCCTTAGCCCCTGCCTCCACCCCCCCATCCACTTTCCCTGCCAGCCCCATACCAAGGTACTTGGCCCGTTCCTCGCGCCGCTCCTTCGCCTGCTTGTGTCTTGCCTGGGCCTTCTGGGCATCTGCAGAGGGGAAACACCGTCAGGGCAGTGCCCAGCCCCGCCAGGCATCGACTGGAGCCCACAGGGCGCAGCACCACTGGAGCATCACAACTCCTGGCACCCACCTTGCTTGGGCCGGGGGCTGGCGGCAGGAGACGGTGAGGGGCGGCTGCTCCGGGGGCTCACGTCCTTGGAGGGCCCGGCCGTGGCAGCCAGGGAGCTCTTGGCATCAGGAGGGGCCCCTTCAGTGGCAGCTGGGGCTGGGGGCTGGCTCCCGTGGGGCGGCGTGTCCGTGGAGCCGGGGGCGGCAGCGTGGACGGGGACAGGCTGGCCAGCGGTGTGGGGCAGCGCCTCTTCTTTGGGGTGCTCCATCCCAGGCGGCTTGGGGGGCACAGGGGGGGACTGGTCACCCTGGGGGGGAACACTCTGTGCTGAGGGGACCAGAGCTGCAGGGCTGGGGGACACGGGCTGTGCTGGCAGTGCCAGGGCTGCAGGGCCGGGTCGGTCACGCTGCGGGGGGCTGCTCTCAGAGTGGGGCATCACGGGCTGCTGGGAGGGGGGCACGGCCGCAGGGACGGGTGAGACGATCTTCTCAGAGGGGGTGATGGCTGCAGGGATGGGTGGGATGGTCTTTTCCGAGGGGATGACATCTGGAGGGCCGGGTCGGTCATGCTGGGGGAAGCTGCGCTCTCCCTGCAGGGCACCCCCAGGCACAGGGGGTGGCACGGAGGGTGGGGGGACGCTGTCTCCCATCGGGGATGGTGGCTTCCCTGCAAGAGGGACAGAGCAGAACACAAGGTCACTCAGCTGGGGAAAGATCTCCCCAAACAGCTCCCAGGGGACACAGCCCCGTCCCCGCAAACACATCCCTCAGGAGCAAGGTGAGGAGGGCGGTGGAGCCCCACCTCAGCCCTGCTGCTGCTGCCCCAATCCTGGGGGCACCCGCAGTGGGTGCCAGGCACTGGGCGCACAATGCACAGAGGGACAGCCGGGCTCCACCAGGCACTGCCACCACAAAGCTGCCCTTCATCCCCCGGCAGCTGCCGCCGGGCCCTGCCGTGGGGGGACACGGGGCCAGAGACCCCCCCATGGGCACGGGGACCCACACGCTGCCCTGCCACTCTCCCCGAGGGGACGGGGACGTCGAGCGCTTCCGCGGCGCCGTGGGCCGCGCCGGAGGCAGGATGGGCGCGGGCCGTGCCTGACGTCACCGTGGCAGCCCACGACCCGCAGCCATCACCTCACGGCCCAGGAATGCACACCAGCAGCCAGACAGAGCCCCCTCCCCGCGTGGGGCCGGCCGTGGGGCAGCACGGGGGTCTCCCGTGGCCGCTGGGCACCCTGAGGCAGCGCTGAGCGCAGCCCGACACGGTGCCAGCGCCTGGCAATGCCATGGCACGTGCCCCTGGAGAAGGGATGTTGGAAGTGTCCACAGTGACAGCAGTGGTGGGGACTCCCCCGGCCCCCATGATCAGCCCTCTGCAAACAAACCCTTCAGTACCTGCCAGGATCCCAACTCCAACCCCCACGCTGTGTCACCCCCGGCCGGAACGGTGCCAGACCCACCGCAGGACACACAGCTCCAGCCCCACGGAGTGTGACAGCACTGCACAGTGAGGGGGGATGGCAGAACCCCAGCGACCAGCACTCCCCACCAGCTGATGTCACACAGCTCAGCCGTGTTTGCAGAGCTCTCCACAACCCTCAGCGAGGGGCAAAGTGTGGGCTCTGCAAACACAGCCGGCGCCACTCCTCACCCACCCTATGGATCCTCATCCATCCCACGGCTCCTCACCCACCCCACAGCTCCTCATCCACCCCACAGCTCCTCATCCATCCCACAGCTCCTCATCCATCCCACGGCTCCTCACCCATCCCACAGCTCCTCATCCACCCCACGGCTCCTCCCCACGGCTCCTCATCCACCCCACGGTTCCTCACCCATCCCACAGCTCCTCATCCACCCCACGGCTCCTCACCCATCCCACAGCTCCTCATCCACCCCATGGATCCTCATCCACTCCACGGCTCCTCATCCACTCCACGGCTCCTCCCCACGGCTCCTCATCCACCCCACGGCTCCTCACCCACCCCATGGCTCCTCACCCATCCTGCAACTCCTCACCCTCTCCACAGCTCCTCATCCACCTCATGACTCCTCACCCACCCCATGCTGGAGTGCTCAAAGCCAGGGTCAGCCCAGGCTATCCAAAGAGGCATTGCCAGCTCCCTGCACTGCCAGCATGGGCACACCCCAGGGCTGCTGCTGCAGCCCCCCGGGCCAGGGCTGTGCCAACAGGGTTCCCCCACCCTGGATTCCGTGGGGACACAGGCAGCCCCGGCCCCCCCGCAGACTTTCCGGGTATTTTCTGCTGCAGGAAGCCGGCCCATCCCCTGGCCCCGATCCTGCACATCCCATGTCCCCAGCGCTGAGCCCTGCGAGGCAGCCACGGCTCTGATGAGGGGCTGGGACTGGGGGGTCCCAGCTCTGTCCCCCCAGGGCTGCCTCAGATGGGCAACCACAGGCAGCAGGGCTTGGCAGCCCCCAGGTGCCAGATCCCGGGGTGGCACCTGCAGTGTCACTATGTGTGTCCCAGCTGGGAGGGGTGACCCTGGCACCACTGTGGTGGCACAGCCAAGTGCTGCACACAGGGCCCAGTGAAAGCATCAAGACCAGACTGATCCCCTGAGCAGATGGAAATACCTCAGAGAGCCCTGGACGTGTGAGGACCACTGGCAGGGGACAGTGGGTGCCTCCTGCCAGCCCACACAGCCAGGCAGAGAGCCCTGGGCAGGATCTGCCCTGTCCCACTGGCCAGAGAGACAACAGCACCTGTGGCCAGGGCAGGGCTGTGGGCACGGCCAAGACCCCCAAGGTGGGGCAGGGCCAGCCCTGCCGCCATCTGTCCCTGTCGCTGCTGCAGCACGGCAGCTGCCCTGAAACCCAACGCTGCCTGCGCCCAGGCGGCGCGGGCGTCCCCTCTCCCCCGGCCAGGGCATTCCACACGGATTAGCTCCGTCCCCCCAGACACGCAGGCACGGCTGCCCTGCAGCGCCCAGCCCGGGCGAGCCCGCGTGGCACCGGCCCCGCTGCCGCCCCCGGGACGGCGCCGTGCCCAGCACAGGGTCCCTTTGACGCCCAGCCCGTCCTGCTCCTCGCACGGGTCCCTTTGGCACTGGTGCCCGTGCCGCCGAGCGCCAGCGGCACGCCAGCCCGGCAGTGCCCGGTGCAGCGCGGTTCCTTGGCCGGCACATGGCCGGGGATGCTCAGCCAGGCGCGGGCAGATCCCGGTGCCGTGAAGCGAGAGCACATCGAGGCCCGCGGGCGCTGCTCGGACCAGCGGGCCTCGTTAACTGTCCCTGCAGGGCACTGCCCGAAAGAACAGGGGGGGCACCCGCCCGATGTCACCTCAGCTCCCCTCAGCTCCGTATCCTCGTGTTCCCGCTCAGCGGGGCGGGGGCATCAGCAGAGCAGGGCTGATGGTGCAGTGAGGTCACTGGTGAGCAGTGGAAAGCCACCCAAAGGTGCTGGTGGCACAGTGCCCAGCCACCTCGGCCATTGCAGCAGTCCCTGCCGTGCCAAGGACAAGACCCTGAGGCCAGCCCCAAGAGCCACTGCTGGCCCTGCAGGGCTTCGAGGGGACATTCGTGTGTGCAATACACCCTCAGGCCCTCCTGGGTGCAGCTGTTCCCAGCTGCCTCCCCTGCCTTGACAGCAGCTCCATGGGGATGGGTCTCTCGGTCTCTCCCTGCCAGCAGGGACTGGGGCAGAGCAGGAAGGCAGCGTGGCCACAGAGCAGGGTGGCTGTGTGGGTGCTGGTGTCCACTCTGCCTGAGGCCACCAGAGCACTGTGGGATGCACTGGGATGCTCCAAGGCCTGGGTGTGCTCCAAGCCCCAGGGCTGCCCCTGATCCCACCCCTGTCTCAACACTCAGATGTGCCTTGGGGCTGAGCCCTGCCCTGTCCCACCCAGCTCCTGGGATTCCCCTGTGCTGCAGCAACCCTCACACCTGGGTGACAGGGACAGTGAGCCAGCACTCCTGACACATCCCTGGAACGTCCACAGCACATTCCCAACACGTCCCCACTATGTCCTGCCCGCAGGCATAGCACTGACACGCACCCTCAGTGCTGGCTCACATGCTTGGGCAGGGAGATACGGGCAATGCCAGCAGCTCCCGCCTTAGGGGTGGCCAGTGCCACCCTGGCAGCCACCACCAGCAATGATACCCTGTCCTCAACAGGGACAGCCACCTGCAGCCTGTCCCCAGGCACATGGGCACTGTCACCCACGGCTGGCTCCTCTCCCCGCCACTTTGGAGCCAGTGAAACACAGCTGGCAGCTGGCTGGGCTGCAGCCACAGTGCCCACCACTGCCCACAGCCCCGCTCCGGGGGACAGGCCTCCAGGGACAGGACAGGCTGCAGCAGGGCAGGAGGGCACAGCAGCAGGGCCCCTGTGAGGGCACAGCCAGGTGCCAGGCATATCCAGCCTCCTTTCCCAGGGCTCATGTCCTGCCAAGGCTCTGGGATGGGGGTATGGGGGCAGCCATGGGGGAACTGCACCAGCCCCTGGGCCAGGGCAGAGGTCATTGAGCTCCCACGGTGCTGTCGTGCTGAGCTGGAGAGCAACAAGGGGAACTTGGGATCTTGTGGTGAGAGCAAGGCCAGAGTCAGGGGGTTTCCAGGGTTTAAAACACACATGAAGGAAAGAGCTGGAGCTGCTGCTGGCCTCAGCACCCCCACAGCAAACTGTGGCTGTGGTCACAGTGCCACCCCAAACAGCCGGAGGGCAGGGGCAGCAACACCTGCCCACCATCCATCTGGCACGCTGGCAGTGGCGACAGGAGGTGCCCTCGTCCTTGGGGCGACCCATGTGGTGCCACCAGTGCCCAGGGCAGCCAGCCCAGGCGCGCTCCCGAAAACCTGTCTGCTAGCATCATGCTGGGAAACAGAAACCTGGCTGGAAGGCAGGGCATGGGGCTCTGTGCCTGCCAGCATCCAGCCCCTTGGGGAGCAGGTCAGTACCCCCAAAAAACAGCTCCTGTGCCTCACAACACAGATGTGGCACCTACCAGGGCTGGGGCTGTGCAGGATCCAGCTCTGTTCCCAGCAGGCTGCCTGTGGGGTTGCCTGACCCTGCTCAGAGCCCTCCAAGGAGCGAGAGCCGTGCTAACTATTTTGGACATGGCACCACGGGACTGTCACATCACCACTCTGCACGTCGCATCACGTTGCTCTGACGGTTTCGCAGCAGCGGCTCCCGCACTGGGAGAACTCCCGAGCTGCTGCTCCCAAACACAGGCACTGGCGGGCAACCAGCTCGCCCTCCCTCTCTGCTGCGCCAGGGGAGAAGGGCTGGAGGAGTGGGGGAAACCTGGATAAGGACAAACCTCTGCCTGCCCCCTGCCTTGGTCCTCATCCCTCTGTACACTGCATCCCTCTGCCCACCTGGGCAGCTCTGCAGGTCACACCGTGCCCTGCCTGCCCTTCACGAGTTTCTGGCCTCCAGTGCCACTGGCTGCCCCACACGTGGTGGGTCCTGGCCCCTTGAGTGAAATCTCTTCCCTGCTGGTGGCTCCAACCCGCTCTGGGCAGCAAGACAAGAAGCAGCCCGGGCTGCCCAGCCATGCAGGTCACCCACACCGGACAGCTCAGGGATGGTCCCTGAAGGAGGACATGGTGCAAAGCCGCCCTTGCTCCTTCAGCACCACTCTGCGCCCACGGGAGAGCAGCCAAGGACCCACAGGGTGTGCGGGGAGCCCAGGGTGGCCGGAGCAGCCAGCCCTGGTCCCCGGCCACCACAGCATGGAGCGGGCAGGCCAGGGCGGGCGGGAGGGCAGCGGAGGCAGCGAGCGGGACTCAGACAACATGTCTGGCGCAGGACGCGCCGTTCGGGCAGCGATGCCGCCAGGACCTGCGGCCGCTTGGTGCAGGAGCCGCCGGTTTCCAGCATCGCCGGAGCCGCAGCCATCCCTCCCCGTCCGCGGGCCCGGGCGATGGAGCGCTGGGGCCGAGGGGGAGGGGAGCCGCCTCTCCTCTTCCTCCCGCGGTGGGAAGCGACTCGGCGGAGCTCTGCTTAGTCACAGCGCTGGAGCCCCGAGAGGCAGCGCCAACCCCGGCCCCGCCGCCGCCCTCCCCGCTCCATCCCGGGCAGCGGGACCGGCCCCGCCGGGACGAGCCGCGGTCCCACGAGGCGGGGAGGGGGCGGCCCCGGCGGGCGGGGGGCGGCGGGTGCCTCCCCCAGGGCCCATCGCCCACCGGCCGGCGGGGACGAGCCGGGGCGGCACCGGCACCGCCACCCCCGGGGCTTCCCAAGGGCAGCCCCTGCCTCCCCCACGCCGGCGGGGCCGGGGCCGCTCCGGCCCTCCCCAAGATGGAAGGGCCGTGCCCGGGCTTTGTCCCTCCCGGGAAGCCGCCCCGGCCCCGCCAGAGCGTTCCCCCCTCACCCCCCCGGCTCCTCCACCGCCTCCCCGGGCCGCCGCCCCGCTCCGCTCCGCCGCATTCCGCGGAACGGCCGCCTCATCTCCGCCGGCACGGCGGGCCGCATCCCGCACCCCCGGCAGAGCCCGCACCCCCGGGCCGCATCCCGCACGCCGACTCCCTGCGGCCCCGCCGTGCGGGAGGGGGCCCGGGCGCGCCCCGGAGCCGGTACCGGCACCGCGGGTCCTTACCGAGGGGCTGGGGCTGGGGCCGGGGCTGCGGCTCCCGCCCGGCGCAGCTCCGCTCCATGGCGCGGCAGGCGCAGGGGCTGGCCCAGCCCCGCTCCCCCCGGCCCGCGGGGGAGGACGCTCAGCGCTCCCCGCCCCGGCCCCGCGGCCCCGGCCGGGGGGAGCGGCCGGGGGATGCTCCGCCTCGCCCCGGCTCCAGACGCGGCCCCGCAGCCCCGGCCCGGCGCCGCTCCTCCCGCAGCCCGTCACCCCCGCCTCGGGCCTGTCCCCGCGGTGCTCGGCATCCCCCAGCTTTGCTCGGCCACTCGCCCGCCCCCAGCCCCTGCTCTCTGCGATTTTGGGGCTCGCACACACATTTTACGATGCTCCGCTGGCCCCGCAGCAAACACGCCCCGCCCCGAGCAGCACCGCGGTGCACAGCCAGCACCACCCGGAGCAGCTGCCCCAGCCTCAGGCACCCCAAAAAGACACCGACTGCCCGTTTCCGAGCCCCACCTCAGCTGCTGGAGAGGCCTTGGAGCTGCTGCTCCCCCGCTCCCCGTCACGCGTGAGCCTTACTCACCGCCAGCAGCCGCCTCCGCTCGGGGGGCTCCCCCCGCCCGCATCCCCCTGCCCCGGTAACCGGCGGACAACAGAGCCTCTCCCGCTCCCCGGGCAGGAACAGCGGCCCCCGCTCAGGGCTGAAACCCCTCCGGGCCCTGCTTGGAGGGGAATGTAGCAGCACGGCCAGGCTAGGGGAGGAACGGGCAGCACCAGCAGTGGCAGAACACGGCTCCAGGCTCTGCAGGGGCACCAGGAGCAGGGACATGTCCTTGTCCACCAGTGGCCAGCCTGCTCCAGGCATCCCGCACAGTGCCCGGCTCTGGGTGTGTGCATGAACAAAGTTAGTTTTTTGCGGACAGCACCCATCAGAGATGCCTGTTTTGGGGATGATGTCACCGCAGGCCAGGAGATCCCCTGCCGCTCATTCCTCACCTACCAGGCAAACAGGTTTACTGAAATCCCAGCCCTTTTCCTTGGAAGTACATTCCCTTGAGTCAGGGATGGGGAGCTCCTCAGCAGACGGGGCGGCCCCACTCGGTGATGCTGCAGGGGTAGCCCTACACCCCAAATCACCCTAAAATCATCACCCTCCTACAGCCTCTAGCCCTGCACCCTCTCACCTGGCTCAGACAGAGCAGAGGCTTCCTGAAACTCCCAGAGCCTCGCCTGCAAGCTGACTCCCCACTAGGGAATGCTGCATGGCCAAGCCTCAGCTCTGGGAGCTGGGGCACCCCAGGAGAATGGCAGGGAGAGCAATGTCCCAACGAACTTACAAAGCCAGGATATGCCCTGGGACAGGAAAGGGGAACAGCCCCACTCACACTGCTGCACAGCTGAGCCTCCAAGGGGCTGCAGCAGCCCCACAGCCCTGTATTTCCATGGCACACACTGAACCTCCAAGGGGCTGCAGCAGCCCCACAGCCCTGTATTTCCATGGCACACACTGAACCTCCAAGGGGCTGCAGCAGGACTGGAGCCACTCCATGGCATGCTCCAAGGGTGACTGTGGGTGGTTTCCAAAGCCTCTTTGCCTGTGGGTCCCACCTGGAGCATCACCTGGAGCAGATGAACATCTCAGAGATCTAGGACAAGCTGGCACTGGATCCATTCATATCCATGGTCCTTCTCCCCACAGTGGGGTCAGTCTGGAGCAGGGGGCATGGTGAGGAAGGGGCAATCGTGAGTGTACAGGGCCTGTGGCCGTGCTCCAGCAGTGCAACATGAGAGGGCTCGTGAATGCCATGCCAGCCCAAGTCGATGGGCTTATACAAGCAGGGATTGATCAATCACTCTGCTGCAGGCAGAGCCCCGCTGTGTTGGGGTTCCTGGGTCCAGCCCTGCCATTCCTGTGGTGCTGGGAACAGCTGCCCTCCCTGAGCTGATGGAAAATCCGATGAGCTCATGATGAGCAGGGCACCCAGCCCTGGCTGCTGCATGCCCCAGCGCTCCCTGTGCTCCTCAGCCCTGCAGCGTGGGGTGCAACACTACCACGGCTCCATCGGGCCAGTCTGGGCAGGGGGCTGCACCCTCAGGCCCAACACCTGGCCCTGACACCGACTGTGGGGGCCCAAAGGGATCAGCACCCCAAAGTCAAAGGATAACTACAGGCACAGCTCAGCCCTTCCAGCGGGAGCTGACTCTGTGCGAGTCCGGGAGCAAAGAGGGATAAGGATGGCAAACAAACCCCGCCAGCACCTCTGAGCAAAGTACTGTGTGGAACACCCCATCCCACCCATTTCCACCTGCTCCCTATCCCTCTGCTCCCACCTCTCTCCTCAGCCCCAGGACTTTGCCCTGGCCCCGGGCTGCTCCCACCCTGCTGCTCTGACACGGTGCCCACAAGGGCAGATTTGCATCCCTGTCCCCAAAACACTCCAGCTGATTCCCACCAGCCGTGGGGCAGTGACCCTGGGGATGAGTGTCTGTCCCTGTGTCCTGTCCTGGGGTGGAGGGATGCAATAGGAACCCATCTCCAGCAGCATGCCAGGGCAACAACCAGACCCCCAGCATGCTGCCATGGGGCTACACCACAGCCCATGGCACATCCCAGCTGCTGCAGGACAATCCCCCGTGGGTGTCAGTGACAAATGGGCCAGCAATGGGCTGAGCCACAGCGGGCTGCGCCCTGCCCTGCCACAGCTCGCGCCTGCTCTGTAATTATCCCAAGCCGCATCTGTAATTAGTGTCCTGATGTCATGGGGTCAGGCCTGGGCAGCCCCACGCGCTCCCTGCCACCCCCACCTTGGCCTCCGGCCTTGGGGCTGGAGGAGATCACAGTCTTCCAACCCCGTCCGGAGGAGTTCCTGCCCAGCTCCGGCTCCCCGCCAGCATTGCTGCCGGAATCCCATCCCAGCGCTGCTGCACAGCCCCCGAGAGCTGCTGCAGGGCTGGACCTGTCCCTCGGGCCAGCGCTGGGCTTGGTGGCTCCAACCGCTGCCCCCTTCCCTGCAGCATCCTGCCTGGGAAGAAGGGCCGGTCCCTGCCCTCCCGAGCCTCCCAGGGCTGCCAGACCCGCATCCCGCACAGGGAATGCTGGAGCAGCCCGGCGGCTATTTCTATAAATAGGGCGGGAGTGTGGCCGCAGCACACGCGGGACCTGCGGCTTCTGGCCAGGGTGTGGGGCTGCAGCAGCGCCTCGGGGTGGAACAACCACGGCAGCAGGGTGAAAGCCGGGAGGATGGACGGGAGGCCTCACACAGCTGCCACGGAGCACCAGCGCTTTATTGCAGGACAGAGAACCACCATACTGGCACACGGGGTACCTCGCATCCCTCCTCTCTGCCAGCACCCCATGCCCAGCCCTGCCGCTAACACGTGCGCAAGGGCCGGGCCGTGCCGGTGACGCTGAACCGCGCACTCAGCACCTCCGAGGGCACCCGCCTCTTCTGGCCCGGCTGCTGCCCGCCGGCGAAGAGGGTGAAGGTGCCAGGCTCCAGGTGCCAGTGCTGTGCCCAGACGGCGCGCTGCTCGGCCAGCACCTGGAAGGACAGCTTGGCCTCCCGGCCGGCCGGCACAGCCACGCGGCGGAAAGCCACCAACTGCCAGCGGGGCACCGGCACGGATGAATGCTCCCAGCGCAGGTACAGCTGCACCACCTGCACGGAGGGATGGGAGTCAGCACAGCGGGACTCCACAGCAGTCCCCTTGCAGGGGGGAGCTCGGGCACATCTGTACCCCGCACAGCCAGATCAGGGCAGAGCAGCTGTGCCCACCTCCTCGCTGTCCCGCAGCCCCGTGTTCTCCAGCACCACAGACACAGAGAGGTTGGCACAGAGGGGCAGCACTGGGGGGCTGAGCACCAGGTCCCGATAGCGAAAGGTGGTGTAGGACAGCCCATACCCAAAAGGGTAGAGCGGGGCCTCCTGCCCATAGTACCGGTATGTCCGTCCCTCCATGGTGTAGTTCTCCATCGGTGGCACCTGTGGGACAAGGGCCAGTGGAACAGGGCAGGGCTGGGCAGGCACAGGCAAGAACCACAGCCCTGCATCCTGCAGCTGCTCCAGCCACCAAGGCAGGGAAAGGCTAAGGGTACAACCAGCAGCCCTGGCCGTACCTGGTGCATGCCTGCAGGCCAAGTGGCCGGCAGCCGGCCAGCTGGGCTGGCCCCTGCCTCGCCCAGCAGGACCCTGGCAATGGCCAAGCCGGTGGCCTGGGCAGGGAAGAAGCAGGCCAGGATGGCCCCCACGCCGTCATGTGCCTGTGCCCAGCTCACGTCCAGGGGCCCCGCGTTGAACAGCAGCAGAATGACAGGGCGCCCAGCGGCTGCAGGGAGGTGGCTGTCACCGAGAGGCCTGTAGTGGCACTGCTGGGATGGCCCTGGGGTGTCCCATGGATGGGGAACACCTGGGTGGGTTGAGGTCCCACAGAGCTCCTACCTGCCTGCACAGCATCCTGCAGCAGCTCCAGCTGGTGCCCCGGCAGGGACAGGTCGCTCCGGTCTTTTGCCTCTGTCTCCACATCTACCCCTGGGTGGGGACAGCCAAGGGAAATCCCCTTACACCCCTGTGGGCAGACAGGGCAGAGGGGCACCGACCACCTCAGAGGTGGCTCATGGGCACCCCTGTCTCCCAGAGCACTCCCCTTCCCCTGGCAGTGCCCACCCAGTGCCCTCCCACTCCCACCTACCTGTCCCCAGGCAGACCAGCACCACATCAGCTGCCCCCACCACCTTCACCAGCTCTGCCCGCGAGTACCGCTGGCACCGTGGCTCGCTGCAGCCTGCTGCAAAGCTGACATTGGCCCCCAGCATCTCCAGCCCCCTCCTGCACCAGGGAAGAGCACAGGACACAGGGGCAGCTGTACCCCAGGGCTGGGGCACAATGGAGACAGCCCCCTTGCCTGGCCAGCAGCCAAGGGCCAAGCAGCTCCAGCAGCACCCCTGGACAGTGGCCAGGAGAGGGGAACAGTGACCAGGAGAGGGGGACATGAGGTGGGACCACGCTGTCTCACCGGGGAGTGTAGATGTACCGAGGCTCTGGCACTGGTGCATAGTCCCCAAACAGTACCCGGGGATTGTCAGCAAAGGGACCCACAACCTGCAGAGGGCAGAGGGGTCAGGGTGGGCATCAGCAGCTTTGTGACACCTGTGTGCCCTGGGTGTGGAACCAGCACG